TCCAGTTGTTTTCACCGATTAAGGCTACCCATCGGATAAATCTCTATCTAGTGGATACGTGTTCAAAAAAACAACCCGCACACTACTCGTGATTTATTCCGTGAATAACTTTATTTAACCTACAGGGCCAGACATACTGGGCGAAAAATCGAGGCAACAGCATACAAAAGTTTCCAAATTCTAGCTAGCAATGTGCTTTAGCTGAGCGAGAGGGCGAAAGACGTCTTCTCGTGGTATATTGTAACGATTCTAAAGAGAAGAACGAATAAACAGGGCAAAAAATAACCAGAGAGTCAAAAAACACGCTGAAAAGGTTGAGTTAATATTTTAATACCATCACCATGCTCCAGAAATAATAATAAAGAAAGACTGAAAAATACAGTAACACTTAAACTGTAACATAATTTCATTTCTTCTAATCGGTGTAACCGATAATTTAAAATTACAGCACTATATCATTTGCTCTATAGACATTTTGCTCTCTGTTGAAGCTGCAATACATCTTGTTTCTTGCCGGTCGACTTGAAGAGCAGCGTCCTAAAATATAAATTAAAGGAACAATTTGAAGCTAAATACGTGATTTGATTATGAAAAGCAGATGACTCCGATGATCTAACCTTATCCCTCCCCATTGAATAGACTCACCCCCTCCCCCTCAAAACTGTCTCGCTAGTCTTGCTCCAGCGGGAAGACAAAAAAAAAAATCAAAAGCTTCACAGCAACTCGCGCAGTGGCCAAGACTAGCCACGCCCATGGTTCCCTCACAGCAGAGAGCAAACGAGAGTGTTCTCTCTCCCTAATCGAATCTATCAAATGCCAGGTAAATAAGACCGCGGTCCGCGTCTTCCCTCATAACCTACTGTAGTGATTTTCTATTTGAAAAAAAGCCGACCAAAGAGTTGTTTTGTCAATAGCTGCACAATGTAATTGGATTTACCTGAAAAGTTTAACGCGATCCATGCTCTCTTCAAATTGCCTAGCTTTCTTCACAGCTACAGAAATAACCTGAAAAGACAAGTGTAAATAACTGCCACTAAGCTCGTCATTGTGTATATATGTCATTTTCGTAAAGCCAAGGATCTCGGCCATTTTCATAGGGCTACACGCAAGTCTTTTCTCCCTACATGGTTCCTATACTGTTAATTTTGGAAGGTAGTCAAAGATACGCGAGAATTCAATGGGCAAACATTTATCCGTAGGGAAAAGAGAGGGCAAAAGTTACTGTTTTGCGAATCGTATTTCGCGGAAATTTTTTACTACGCAATTTCAACCGACCTACTAAGAACTCATGAAAAACGTCGTGTAACTGTGGAATTGTTAAGTAAAACGGCCACGCATTTACACACTGCTTCCTCATACTCACCTCATCAGGTATGCCAGCCAGTCTTGCTGCGTTGAAGCCATAGCTTTTGGGACAAGCGCCCTTGACGAATTTATACAGGAATGTTATCGTCTCTTTACTAGGATCAGTTTCGTCTTCGTTTTCAACCATACAAGCCTGCAAAAATAACAAGTATCAGAATGATCAGTATGCGGTAATATGTGTACTGCGTCGGTTGATAAATCTGGAGGAGATTTTCTGGTTTAAATCTTAGTTATCTTAGTCTGAAATGTTTATTTGTTTACAGTATGTTCTCAATTTTATCAATACGATTCATCATGATCATTAATTAAGGACAATTTTTTTGGGAATTACAGTTGCCAATGAAAACAGTACTACGGTAATTTTTTTCCTGCATGCTGATGACACGGATAAACCATGCTAGCATGGTCGCATTGCTGACCCCAGCGGTCGCAACGTCGAGCTCTGAAATTTCAGATAGAGTAGGGGCTTATAGCCTCCGCTTACAGCCATCCTTTCCACCTAATCCTTAAGATATTTCAAGACTAAAAAGTTTTCAACAAATTCTACTTCTAAACATCGTCGAGATCACAGTGACCCCAACTGTTTGTTCCAAACTTCAATGACATTACATCAGCCGTATTTAATTATTTAACATTTCTCTGGCCTTTCTTCAAAATGTCAATTTTCCCTGACTCAAAATGAAATTCCCTGACTTTTCCCAGAACTTGAAGAAGTTTTTTCCTCTGACCATTTCCTGACAAGTGGCAACCCTGAGTAATGACACTGCAAGGTGAAATTCTCTACATATTACATAAAACTTCTACATTACTTACAAAACTTTCGGACACTTTTGATCTCAATTTGGACAAATTTCGGACCAAATTTTCGGACACCTTGCTGAAACATAGCTAACGGAAATTTACGCCTCCAAAACACGAATTACACTGAAACAACATATGCGAAAATGTTATGTATCTTAAGAGTGCCTCCGCTTGAGTTAGCTCCAGAAAGGAAATTAAAAGCTTTGGAGCTACTTAAAAAAGTCTTATAATGTACTAGAAATATTTTGGACGCTTAAAAAATTAGGACGGTTTTATTTTCGGACACTTTTTTGCCCGGAATTAAAATCGTCCGAATTCGTCCGAAATTTCGCGAGTAATGTAGTCGATGAATACAAACGCAATAGCTAAAAGATGCGCGAATCAGGCTTGTTTTCTGGGGGAGGTGGTTAGGGGCTTATTGCGGCGGCTCACCATATGACCAAGTCGAACATTTGGATCAGCGGAGAACTCCTCGACCAGTGAATGGTAGTGGGTGGAGAAGAGTGTCCGACATTTTATCTGCTGTGACAGCTCACCGACCACAGCACAAGCGATGGCTGTACCGTCATATGTAGCTGTACCTCGACCCAGCTCGTCCACGAGAACGAGTGAATGCCTCGTGGCATGTCGAAGAATCGTGCAAGTCTCGCTGAGCTCGACAAAGAACGTACTCTCACCTGGAATACGAAAGAACAGAAGAAACATGGAGTTGTCTTTTACAGTGCGACTACTCGAACCGGACATAGTTAATGGAGGAGAAAAGCCCGGCAAACATCAGAGGAGCAAACAAAGATGACAAGCTCTATGTTGGAAGGTCCACGACCGTGCACAATCTTTTGTTTTGCGTTCATACACTATGCATGAGTTACGTAATCAAAACATTTCTATTAGTTAGCTCCTCAGTACGGAGTAAACAACTATTGTGTTTTGTGCAGGGTCAAGGCCAAAAAAGAGAACAAAAACATACGACAAAGAACTCTGTCGAGTTTTGTAACCATTTCCTCTATTAACTATGAACCGGACCACCTAGAGGAAAACTAACCAATCAAAAGGTAAACTGACAACAATAGATTGGTGGATTGGTAACTGGAACCCAAACCCCCCGATCCAGAGGCGAGCTTACTCACCACTAGGCCACCGCGCCTCCACTAAGCCAAGAAAAAAAATAGCCTGTATTTTAACCCCTGATGTTGACCGTTACCTGACAGAATTCTGTCCTGCGCTCCAAGCCTCGTAAACACTCTATCAACTGGTGTGAGGCGGCACTTTTCAGCCGGAACATAACAACCCTGTAAAATGAAAAGATCTACTTCAACAAAGTATAAGCTACTGAGAAAACGGAGTACAGGCAGTGTTGTGTCTAGATCGGGGAGGACACGATCAAGGTAACAGTTTAAAATGAAAAGAAGAAAACAAAAGGACAATTTTTTTTGTCGTCGAAAATTTACGTTAAAAGGCTACAATTTTCCCCCTTTCCCGAATTTGCACCACGAGGCCTTTGATTTGCTACGAGATTTCGACCATTTACTAAGAGTTCTCAGTCATATCCAAAATTAACCTTTAATCTCTTCAAAAGGAATGATGTACCAACAAAAAGTAATGATGTCCGGACATTCTGTCCAATGAGAACAAACAAATTAAATTCCCGCTATTCCCTAGCAATATTGCTTCTTGTTTGAAGACAGATAGAATTAAGAAGAAATCCGCCAGAAGTTCGAGTAACAATTGGACAAAAACTTGCTACCGAGATTATTTACATATTCAGTGCGACTGTTTTAAATATCTTCTCGAAAAAAATCATTTCTAACAACACCAAATATTGTGAAAAAATTTTGAAGTTCACACTTGAAAGTACTGTTGAAATGAAACTGATGATGAAATTTTACCTGTGTTTGAACAATTCCTCTGAACTTTGAGAAGCAGAATTTGCTCGATTCCTATCGGATTTCATCTTAAAATGTTTAAACAGAGAGAGAAGAAAAATTTACCATCTGTGCCATAATCACAATCAGCCCGGCTTGTCTCATGAGCGTCGACTTGCCGCCCATGTTCGGTCCGGTGACGAGCACGCATGTGCTTTGACTGTTAACCGCTGTCTCCTCGTCGCAGTCATTGTCCTGGAAAATGCAACAACAATGGTGCTAAGTCAGCAAAAATGCCCATTTGCCACAAAGCCAAAAGACAACTGAAAAATAACCAAAACACTCCATACTTACATCTCTTATCCCAACCACTGTGTCATTTGGAATAAAATCCCCGCCACTGAATGTACGAGAGATGCAGGGATGACGCCCATCTCGAATTTCCAAGAAAGGCTTTTGAGTAGAGACAGAGAGAAAGAAGAAAAAGAATCACGTTAAACAAGAACATTAGATCATGTACATGGCGAAACAAAAGGATCACCATCAAAGATTAATGAAAAGTAGCCACCATTTGGCGCGAAAATATGCTCGGATATTTGTTCGCAGACATTATCCGTTCCGAGAAGCGAACATTTTTCCAAGAGCGGAGCTCGAGGAAAACTGTGAGCTTTGAGGAACAGATAATGTCCAAGGACAACTATCCGAGCATATTTTCACGCCAAATGGAGGCTATTGTGTTTATTATCCTTCAAATATTTTTCGCAACACGCGCAGTTTTGAAAATTGTGGAACATCACTCGGATATTCCCCAGTTATAACTGGGGGATAATGCAGTCACGTTACGTTTCGCTCAATCGCGCGCGAGCGAAAATATTTGATGGATTATAAATAAAAATATTCTTGACGCTGCGTGAATGATTCGAGAAAAATTCGTAGCTAAACACGCCAATAGACCTTTTTAGCTTAGGGGGTTAGTTGCCCCATTTCAAACCATGTAATGATACTCTTGAGAAATCTTGCTTACAAATTTTCAAATAGTCCCGTGCGGTCTAAGAAAAATTTCAAGGAGCCCAAAGGTCCCTATAACCATGAAATCCTGGGTGCCCAGTACTTGAGCTTATAACAAAAAAGTGAGATTTTGCAATCGCCCAAAATCAAAAGTTAGTCGCCCATGGCACCCGGAAGTTCCTGGAGCACAAACCTGATATGAATGAATAACTTTCAGATGGATAAAAAACAATTCTCTAGAGAATATCACGTGGTCTGTACTCAAAAACCAAGCGGCCCAAACTGAAAAAGTCTAGTCGTCTCAAAATCTGGCGTTTTGAAATGATTTTTCTCGAGGATCGGAGGAACACCAAGGAGCTTTATGAAGACCGTACCTGGAAGTCCTCGGCTGAATTCTTATCGGGAAGAACAATTTCAGGTCTACACATGGGGCCGTCACCCTGTGAACTGAAGGGAGTGTCACCGTTAAGAAAAAACGAAGCTTTATCTCTCCGTTTAGGCTTTCCGTCCGCACTAATCCGTCACAAAAACGGAGCTTTTGGAAAACGCTCGTCAAACCGGAGGAATTTGTAAACGCCGCTTTTCGTTTCCGCGTGGACGGAAAACACTTTAACTAAAACGGAGCTTTTCGAAAACGATGTCGTCACGGTAATCACGAGATTTCCTTGACTGAATTTTGCTCGAACAATTATTGCGTTTTTTAATTCCTCCGGCTTATAGTGTGGACGGAGAACATTTGATGCGTTTTCAAAGTGAAACCTCCGATTTCAAATTCATAAGGAGTAATGTGGACGAGGCAGAAATGCAAAGTTACGGACTACAGGTGTTCAAGAGCTCACCTGTAGGACGCCAGACTGATCAGTGAATCCACAACAGCTAAGCATTGAACTGTTTTGTCCCAGGTTTTGTACCTACCAAGAGGAAAGTTCCCGTTTAGTTCAACATGGCTTAGAGCAGTTTTGAAAAAAAAAACTGTATTCGCATTGTCACACAACAAAAGCAAAAGCACTAACAATCCTGTTAAACGAGTTTTCACGCGCACTCGGTCAATCAGGTTTCCCACACTTTTCACCGGTTATAAGTTTTCCCACGCTTTTAGTCGTTTTCTTGTTTTCAGCATTCCTCACAAGTTAAATGTTTTCCCGCGTTTTTCACCAATCATATATTTTTTCCCGCGCTTTGCATCAGTTGCACATTTTACCGCCCTTCCCGCCGCTGAAACGTTTTCCCGCGCTTAGTCGTACCGGAAGTCACAAGTTTCCACCTCTTTTTACACACCACTTACAACAACCATTTACATGCCAAAAGCAAAAAGAAATTTTTCCTTAACTACATTTTCACTCACTCTTGATCAAACTTATGAAACACGTGTCTCATAGTGTCCTTCAAAGCCTCTTCTCTTCTCTCCTCTGCATCCACCATCTCAGCCAGTTTCTCCTCGATCTCGGACGTCCAATATCTTTTAAAACCCTTTTTCTGCGACTGTAGAGTGTACTTATCAGGGATTTTTCGGACGGAATCGGGAACTTCCAGCTGGAAACGGTTCTTAGCTGAAATGGTGCAACATAAAGTGATCAGAAACAGCTGTACGAAGAGGCTTACCACTGAACAGTGGATTAAGAGTCAACAGAGAACTACGCCTTTTCTCCTGAGTACCGTGTTTG